AACGACGGATCCGTGTCGATAAGCAAATGGGAACACTGTGGTGTTATGGAATACGATCAATTCATAACGATCATCCTCCTGCAATAACACTAATCCTCCAGCATATCGTCGATCAGCTGCTATCGGTGCCATCACAGTAGATTTCAAAAAGTTATCATCAAGAAAGCGATGAACAATTTCTGAGGGAAGTTCGTCTTCATCCCTGAAAAGGCAGATTTTAAACGGGATAGGGGATAATGAAAAAATTCGTACCTATTTATCAGCTTGTTAGCAAGTGATCTACAAAAATCCGCTCTTATCAGAGCTTCACCGCACCCGCTAGCACTGATGCCAATGCATCTACTATTGCGTCGTTCCGCCCACATGCCACTTCCGAATACGGTACAGTGGCCCAAACGGCCTTAACACATTATAATAAGATAGGAAGAAATTTGATAATTAGAATTTTAAATGTATTTCCCAACAAAATTCGAACCTGGAGCTTTGAGCATGATTCCTCCACTGGAAGTGCAAGCCTCTACAACGTCGTCCTAAATATTTACTAGATGATAAGCACTTGCATGCAAGTCTTAGCCATAACAAATAAAAAAAATCTAAGAAATGAGAACATTATCTTACAGTAATTGAGACGGCTCCCACAGTGTCCATTCTGGTACTCTGTATGTCTTTTGATTTCTCCAAAGAGATTCGCGCTTTCTCCCACTTCTTCATAGTGTTTTCGGCAAGCAAAGAGCTCGGTTCGCACAAGGGAAACCCTAAACATCGGTGAAAAATCAAAGTGACTTTGAGAATCAGTGAAAGATACCTTGTCTTTCAGCATACTGTTCTGCACCTGATCCGACAAGAACCATGGGAGCGATAAGACCTTCGTAACCACCATTGAGAGCCAAAGCTTTAGCAACCTTGCATGGATTCTTGAGATGCGACACCGCTCCAATAGCTCCAAATCTTAAATACGCTCTGTACGCAAGATTTGTGGTGTAAATTGAATGAATGCAACACATAATTTTTAAAAATTGAATTAAGCACCGAAGAAGAGAAAGGGCAAAAGACGAAGTCGATTGGGTAATTACTCACAACTTACCAATATGAGAAAAACATAAAAGATGATGATAGTACTCAATGAAAGACTATAAATTCGAAATAACAGCTAGGAACACGAAAGACCAATTGGATATTATAGCTGAAAAAAAAGGAAAAAAGGGCAACTAAGTTGCAGAAAGAAACTAACAGAAAACCGTCAGATGACATGAAACCAGCTTCGCACTCTATGGTACCATCCATTGTTGGATTCGATCCATGACCACAGTTAAACAGCGGATCATCTTCAAGGAACTGCAAAATATCATAATGTGATAAACAGTAGTTAGAAATAAAATTTTGGTTTGAAAATTAGTACTATACCAAGTATTATAGGAACCAACCTCACCGAAACAGCGGAAACAATGTCCAACTCCTCCTGGCGAAGTGCA